GCGGAGGGAACCACCGCACTCGGCATGCAACAAGACGGGGGAGGCCGGACGGGAGGGCTCCACGCGGGCAGGAGGCCGAGCTGGGAGGGGGGGGAGCGGAGTGGCGAGGATTGCGATCGGCTAGGTCCTGGCTGACCGCAATCCTCGCCCTCCCCCCCCCCCCGGTCAAAGTAGGGGGACGAACAATTACATAAACATGAAAACTCGGAGGTCCGCGCGGATTACTCGGATCGGCACTGGACCTCCCTCCCTGGCGCGCGGAGCGCGCCGGGGGCGGCCCTGGAGGCGCCGCCAAGGGGCCCCCAGCGACGATCTGAGAAATCGGCGCGGACCTCAGAATTTTCATGTCTACGTCATTGCTCGCTCCTGCCGAAGGCGAGCTCCGCGGCAGCCAGCCGCTCCCCCGTCGTCGGGGAGGCGCAAGACTCAGGGAGGAGGAGGAGAAGGAGGAGGAGGAGGAGGAGGAGGAGGAGGAGGAGGAGGAGGATGGACCAGGAGGAGAAGGAGGACGAATGGGAGGAGGAGGCGGAGGAGGAGAAGGGGGAGGAGGAGGAAAAGGACCCCCTCCCCCTCCAACTTATAGTGGTGGTGGTGGTGGAAAACAGGCCCATCAACAGGGCACGGGCAGGGGAGAGCCCACGACGCGCGCTGCAGCACGGCGCATTTTTTCCCGCGCGGGCGACCCAGCAGCCCACGGCGTGCGCTTCGCGAGCACTGCATCTGAGAATCGGAGCGCTGGCGTTCGAGCACCGATGTCAACCACCGCAGACAAACCCACCGAGCCAAAAACCTCACCAAGATCGGGGAGACGTAAGACTTGGGAACGGGGGACTCGGGATGGCCTGACGGGGCCATCATGAAAATGACGAGACCCAATCTGAATTTTGACGCGAACTCCCACTGCAGACATCCCACGGATACCGGACCGTCAAAATCCAGGACCGTCAAAACCGGACCGTCAAAAAACGGTGGCAAACCCGAGTTCCGGGTTACTCGAGATTTACGTTTCCCAGACAAGAACATGTTCAAGCAACTGCAGTGGTGCAAACACGCTTCCGTGTTGTCCCTGGGTTCCAATATGCACAACAACACCGCTCTGGAAAACGCCCCGATGGGGCTGTAACACCACAATGTGCCAAACGAGCACCACCAACGTGCCCGCAAAATTGTCTACAGCGACCAGAGACATGGATGGAGGACGCAATGACACACCACCGGAATGAACAGCACCACTGAACGTAAGCATCTGCCCGAGCAACACCACGACGAAGACTCACCCCGCGACTTCACAATGGCGCAAGCGCGGGCCTATCCAAGTGAAAACGGTTTGGCGTGCATATCTCCCTGGCAACTACCTGCAACGACTGAATTGCATTATTTTGTAATCATCCAGACGATTCGAACCCCGATTCTTGAGAACCAGCGATGTTGTATGTGAACCGGTCCTCTTGCAATGTATATACACAACCAGTGGGGCGACTAGATCTCTCACTTATCTTCGACTGGCAATCGCGAAGAAATATTCCAGTGGGCGGCAATCTCGCGCGGCAACATTACGGGACTCCCGAAGCTGGAACAACCGAGGCCATGTAACAAAGAAAAGGCCGTGCATCCGACGACTGGGTCAGCATGGCCGATGGCTCGCCTGAGCACGCATTCCCTGTCACTGTTTGGCTTGCTTCCCCTGCGTGCCCAAAAGGAGCCAATCCTCCGGGAGACTCGCTCAATGACTGCCCCCATCGCGGCGCAACACATGGCTTGAGATATCTGCGAACATCTGCGCGAGCATGTATGTGGTGGTCTTGCTTTAGCTGTATGAACATGTTGCTTCTGCTGCAACGTCGCAGCGCCTCAAGCGCGAAATGCAGCATTGAGCATGCAGTGGGCAACACAAACACGCAGACGTCAGACCCTCCGCTTGCCCTGGTGCGACGCCGAAGGAATGTCGTTCTACCATGCTTCGCCTGTGCTGTAACACAGAATACGTAGGCATGATGCGGATCTGTTTGTATTGCCTTACCCCGACTCCCACACGACAGCGATCCGCCACCGTGCCGCATGCACAGAGCTCTCTGCACCTAGTACTGTAGGAGTCTTTCAGTGGGCACGACCCCCAATCCACAGATCTCCTGGGGCCTGTCGCGTGACTCGTGGGGCTTCCCGCGTGACGCCTCCAGAAGCCAGAGAGCGCCAAGACGTGCCCCGAACCGCGAAGCGCGAATAACTTCGCGCCCTCGAAGGCGCCCCTGCTTCGAGACGTGGGCCCACGGACCTCTTGACCGCTTCGCCGGGGCCAATCTTTCGTCCGAGCCGACTTGAGCGCGTTTCTTTATTTTCGGCGATAATGGGCATTATAGACGGCGGGGGGGAGGGGCCAGGGGGGGTATAATGTAACGCCTCCCCCCCGCCGTGCGCACGGCGGCAAAGCCCAGAGCGCACTGGGGGGGAGGAGGAGCGTTGCGGTAAAGGGGGGAAGGTGGGGGGGGGAGGGGGGGCCGGG